TGTGTGTGTGTGTGTGTGTGTGTGTGTGTGTGTGTGTGTGTGTGTGTTGGGGGGCGGTACAGAGCTGCAATGCCAGGGAACTCGCCCTTAATCGTGGAGTGAAGACACTCAAGAGTGCTTTCTTATCCATGGGTTCAAAGATAGAGTGATTGCCGGGCGGACCTTTAATCCTAGCACTTGGGAGGCAGAGCCAGGTGGATCTCTGTGAGTTTGAAGCCAGCCCAATCTACAGAGTGAGTTCCAGGACAGCCAAGGCTGTTATACAGTGAAATTCTGTCTTGAAAAACCAAAATAATAATAATAATAATAAACCACTGTAAGTGCTGTGCTGCCGGGACCGCAGGGCACAATACCAGGTGCAATGTGTGAGAGTCTAGTCCTGCCGTGTGCATCGTTAAATAGAAACTAAAGGGCCCTTCTCAAGGTAAATGCCATGTGATTCTTTGTCCTTTAAGGGCCCTGGAACTTCATCCATTCTCGGTGAAGCCTCTTCTTCGGCGAGCAACCGCGTACGAAACCTTAGAGCAATATGGGAAAGCTTACGTGGATTACAAGACAGTGCTGCAGATCGACCGTGGAATCCAGCTGGCGAGCAGCAGTGTTAACAGGTAATCGAGTCTGAGGCTGCCCCAGCGTCCGCCTCCCTTGGAGAAGGGCCACGCTGTCGAATTGCCACAGGTCCTCACCCACTTTCCTAACTCGGTTTCTAATGATGCCTTCCTTCATGCTTCCTGGCTCGCTCTCTCACACCTTACACTTATTTCTGTGAAGTTACTTCCTTTGGATAACACCATGTGCGCAGCTTCCGTGTGCTTCGGGAATCTGGATGTCAGAAGGTGTTTCCGTGGATGTCTAAGTCATACAGACACTAGAACAGTATCTACATAGGTGCCGTGCTCAGACTGCATCTACACCTTCTCACGGGGTTTCTGCACCCCTGTGGGCACCACCTCTGTCGGGGGACCCCGCCTGTCGTTTATGCCCAGGAGGGATGCTTTGTTCATCTGCTCATGCGCCCTGCCAAGGAGGCGCCTGCCAAGGAGGAGGGGAATTTCTTAGTGATGGAATTGTCAAGAGTTGGATCTAGTTAGAATTCTGACCAGCTTATGCCATAGGGAAGAATGAGAAGGTAAGCATCTTCAGACTATGGGGCGGGAAGTGCAGCTTAGGGCCCCAAGTTCAAACCCTGATAAGACACAGACTTGGTCAGCATTCAGGTAAAAATGGAAAACTATGCCTCAGATGACATTTTCCCATGTGGCAGCTTTTAAAGCATTTCTGTCTATCCTGGACCCTGTGCTGGTGTTAGTGTGCCATGCCTTACACACCCTGCAAAAGACAAAAGATAGAAGTGGCTTGGTTTCTGCCTCTCAGCCAGCTAAAATATAGTCAGGGGGAAGCAGCGTAAGGCAGAGAGCCCCAGGTCGGGCAGTGTGTTGGACAGTGAGGTGAGGTGTGGTGGGAGGGAGTAGAGGGGTGAGACAGGCCCGCTTGGCTGCTGCAGAGGGCTCCTTGCCTTTGGATGGTGCTAGCAGAGCCTCCAGAAGGATCTGAGCGGTGTGGTCGACAGTGAGAATGGCCTGGTTCACATGAATCCATTTCCCAGTCATGCCCTGCCTTCCCCGGGACCTCAGCTTTGGTGGGAGCTTTCCCTTGGCAGTCCCCCAAGTCAACTGGAAGAAAGGGATACACACGTCTGAGCATCCCTAATTATGAAAATGGTTCAAAATGGGAAACTTTCTGAATGCCTACTTGAATTTCAGGTTTAGCATTGAGTCTCATCGTAACACCCACGTACGTGCCCTAGCATGTGCATGTGTGTGCACACAAACACACACATGCACATACACACACGTACATACACACACACACCTATATATGCAACCTTTCTAACAACAGCAACTACAATGAAATCACCTAGCAGTGTGGCACACATCTAGGAGGCTGAGGCAAGTAGATCTCTGAGTTCAAGGCCAGCCTGGTCTATATAGCAAGTTCCAGCTAGCCAGGGATACATAATGAGACCCTAACTAAAAAACTATTAACAATAACAACAACAACAACAACAACAACAATAATAATAATAATAATAATAGAATTTCCCAAGCTCTCTAGGTATGAGACACTGGCTTTTATTGGTTGTCTGTGGCTACACTAGACAAGACCCAGCCGTGGGCATCCCCGGGCTCCTTGATAGTGACCCAGTAGAACCAGAGAGCCTTACCAGGTACCACACAGCACCTCACACTGCCAGTCACTTGCTCCCCTGAAGGCTGGGTTGCTGTGTGGTCTTCTGGTTCTCTCTACTTTAGGTGCTTTCTTCTAGGACGCACCCTGGCCCACCAGCTCTCTCCATCCAAGACTCTTAGGTTTCCTTTCTCAGTGCCCCACAACAGTGTCCATTTCAATTTTTGTATTTTTTTTTGCCTTCCCTCCCTTGTGTATGTGTGTGTGTGTTTTACTAAAGCAAAACAGATTTATTAAGAAAAGGAAGCACAAACTCCCAAGCGTGGATAGGCTCCAGGGGTGTGTGTCCTGCAATGCATCTCTTTTTGTGCATTCATTTTCTTGGCATTTTACTGGAAACTTCTTAAGGTCAGGGACTATGGTATAGCCCTCGTCATAGCTGCAGTGCCTTGGAAGGTTGATATCACAAATGAGGCGGTGTTGTATGAATGAGCGTGTTCTCCAACACGGAAAGCATATGCACATCTCTGTCTGGGGTTTTGTTTTTAATACGCCTATCTTCTACCTGGCAGTTTCCCCCTCTCTCTTTCTGTCTCTCACTCTTACCTGTCCTTTTTGCAGTTGTGGGATTGAACCTGGGCCTCATGCATGCTAGGCAGTCGCTGTCTTTCATCCCCAACCTCATGCATGCTAGGCAGTTGTAACATGAGGGGCCGGCTTGTTGGGGTTTCCGTCCCACCCGGTACCCCACAGCTGGCATACCCCAAGGAAAATCAATCACACAGAGATCTCTATAAGTTATAAAGCTGATTGGCCCATTAGCTCAGGCTACTTATTAGTTCTTATAACTTATGTTACCCCATTATCCTTATCTATGTTAGCTACACGGCTCAGTACCTCTCTCAGCTGGGCAGCTTACATCTTTCCTCTCCAGTGGTCTAGGCAGAACTGTGGATGGAGTTTCCTGCTTCCCAGAATACTCCCAGTCTCTTTGCTCCACCTCTACTTCCTGTCTGGCTTTCCCGCCTATCCTGCCTGCCTGGTCAATCAGCGTTTTATTAAAATATGATTGACAGAATACAGACAATTCTCCCGCACCAGGCAGTCGCTGTCCTTCATCCCCCATCCTGTAGAGATCTTCCAGGGGAAGTGTGGGAAAAGAGCATCAGGTTCTAGCCAGTTCTCAGGACTATCTGAGGTTCCGACAGGGAGGAGGGCCTGGTCCAAGGGTATGTCAGGTCTGAAAAGGTAGCTCTGGACCTCGCACATGAAGACCAGAATCTGGATCCCCAGAACCTGTGTAAATGCCAGGTAAGATGGTTGCGGCCTGTCATTCCAGCACTTGGAAGACAGGATGGGGTGTCTCCAGTGAGCGGCTAGCCAGACTCGTGGATAGGTGAGCTCTGAGTTCACCTGGGAGACCCCACCATAACAAATAACAGTGAATACAGCTTATGGCAGCATTGGTCCTCTATGTGCACACATGCACACACATGTGCCCCTCACCACCATGGTATTTCAGGAAGGCAAACGATAGGCTGAGAGTTTGAGGCAATAGGCTGAATGGCGTGAGATGTGTGTGGGAGACCATGTTGGTTCTAATTTCTCAACTTTCTGTGTTGGCCTTTTTAAAAAATAAGATGAGATTTACACAAGATGAAACACCCTAAAGCGTGGTACCGTGGCACCTAGTGAGCGCAGTAGTGTGCAGCTAGCCGTGTCTTCTTCCATCACCCCTGTCCCCACCAGGCAGCCATGCCCTCGCCTGCCTCCTGTGGATTTATCCATTCGGATATTCCATAGCAATAGAATCATAGACTACATGCTGTTGTGTTGGCAAACGTTTCTGCATTTTGTCCACGGTATTGACTTTCCTATGTCCTCTTTGCGTATGCACAGATCACATCTTTCTGGTTTTTATTTTTATTTTTTTATTGGTCTATCAGTTGATAGACCTAAGAAGCAGCGGCGTCCAGGGAGAAGCTGGCCTCATCGGTGCCAGCGGGGCTGTGCCTGTGTCTCAGCCACCACAGCTTGAACAAACAAACCCTGAAGGACGCCCAGCCTCTTTCCAGAGTAACTGGGGGCGTTTTCCTTCCCAGTTATGAATTTTAGATGCATGTTTCACTTTTTCAAAAATTACAATTTTATTTTGAATAGAAAGTAATTTCTCTGGGCCTGGAGGCACATGCCTATAATCTGAGCTAGACAGGCAGGAGGGTCACAAATTCAGGGCTCCACTGGGCAGAACAGTAAGGCCCTTTCTCAAAACAGAAACCAAAAAATAAGAAGGACAAGAAAATGATCTAACTAATCAATGCCAGGCTTTTAAAAATCCCTGGGAAGCACTTTATAGGGACCGCATGTTTTTCTACGAGGAAGCACACTAAGACACAACTTGGTCAGTGTGATTCTTCTTTTTTGTTTGTTTCTTTTGTTTTTTTCAAGACTGGGTTTCTCTGTATAACCAACCTGGCTGTCCTGGAACTCACAAGAGATCCCCCCTACCTCTGGCGTCACCACCTGCCAGGCAGTCAGTCTGACTCTTGATTGAACCTTTACTAAGATAAGCACTGATTCCTTGATGTAGCAACCGTTCGTTCGTTCTCTCTTTAGGATAACAAAAATCTTAATGGAGCTAGATGGACCAAAATGGCGGGAGAATCTGCCACCCATCCCTGTTGTACCCATATCTGAGCCACTGCAAGCCTGGCATCCTGCTGCAGAGACCCCAGACCAGGAGCCACATCCCAGCAGCTGCCCACCTGGCATCACAGGTGAGAAGGACTACCCCTGCTTCCTCCAAGAGCTACAGGTGTATTCTGGGCTAGAGCCTGAACTGAGTCGGGTTGGAGAGATGACTCAGCAGTTAACAGTTAAGAGTGCTGGCTGCTCTCCCAGAGGACCCGGGTTCCATTGCCAGCGTCCACATTGCAGCTCACAACTGTCTGTAACTCCAGTTCCAGAGAATCTGGCACCCATAGCAAAACACCAATACACATAAAATAAAATGAATACTTAAAAAGACGATTGCTTGTAGGTAAGTCTGCGGTGCCTTTAAAATAAAAAAAAAAAAATTAAAAAAATGGTTCAGGGCAAGTGAGGTGTGTCAAAGGGCTTGTCATGCAAACCTGAAGGCCGAGTTCAGTCTCCAGAACCTGTGGGGGAGGGGAGAGCAGACTGCTCCAAATTGCCCCTGAGCTCCCTGTGCTTGCTGTGGCACAAATCACATCACACATACAAATAAATTCTCCAACGATAATATGCAAATACATAGTAAGAAAATTTGAATGCTGGGTAAATACTACACGAGGCTTTAAAAGTTTGACATCATTCATCAAATGTTTATTAAATTCCCAGCACCCATGTGATGGTTCACAGCCACCTGTAACTCCAGTTTCGGGGAATCAATGCCCTCTTCTGACCTCTTCAGGTCCCAGGCACATACATGGTACACATATGTACATCCAAAGTGCTCACACACGGGTGCTGGGAATTGAACCCAGGTCGTATGCAAGACAGCAAGTGCTTTTAACCAGGGAGCCATCTTTCCAGTCCCCAGGTTTTAAAGTTGTGCCTGTGTGTGAGTATGTATCTGTGAGTTCCGGTGCCCAGAGTCTGAAACACCTGCCACAGCGCTGGGAACCAAACCCGGTCCTCTGTAGGCCCAGGAAATGTCCTTAGTCGCTGAGCCGTTGCTCCAGCCCCAGCTTTGTGGTCCTCCCATCTCCACCACACAAGAATCGGACTGCAGCCATGCACCACTATGTCCACTTACGGGTGACATCTGCAGCCATAATTCCAGCTTAATGCAATGTCTGAAGTACTTTATTACCCAAGCGCTTAAAGAGACAGCATGCCTTGCAATTATAGGAAACCGTGGGGCTTCTGACCTCACGGAAGCAGTCACGTTTGAGACCGCCTCACATCATCTGCTCACCTGTGTCCTGGTGTGTGGTTTGACTCTCTCCGTCTCTCACACAGTTCTTGCAGTGTCTCCAGAATCCCAGTGGAGAAAAGAAGACACGCAACACGTGTAACACATTGCTTGCATTTTGTTCTCTAATCTGAAAGTAGCAGCATCATAATGATTCATATATTCCGCAGCATCTCCTCTCTAATGTTATGTTTATTTCTCTTTAGCCTAGCTCCTCGTCTCGTGGTGAGCAAGCACAGGACTTGCCATGGAGGTCTACCGATAATCGTTCTTAATATTTTATAGATGTACTTATGGGAATGTTTTCTCTATGTTTTTATTTTATTGGTCCCATAGATGAAAAAATGTTTCAAGCCCTCAAGGAAGAAGGAAATCAACTCGTAAAGGACAAAAACTATAAAGACGCCATCAGTAAATACAGCGAATGCCTAAAAATTAACAGCAGGGAGTGCGCCATATATACAAACAGGCAAGTTCTCTGTGACAGCCCCTCCGTTTTTTGATACCTTAGCTAAATAAAACTCATTGATTGCCAGTTTATGTAAAGCTTCCAGCCATCAGTGCACAAGCCGTCTTGGTGTTTCTGGAAGAGCTGGCCTGCAAGAGTTAGAGAGGGACTGGGAACAGTGGAGGGCTGATGCTATTGTCCTGATCTGGCCCTGCCCTGTCTGCCTGGCCAGGCTGCAGCAAGCTGGGCCTAAGCTCTGTCCAGAGTGGGAGCTGGGGCATGGGGGCAGGGTGAGGGGTGACCAATCAAAGCGCTTTTTCTTCTAACGTGCTACAGGAATGACAAGCCTCTCTTACAGGGTGTAGTAGGAACTGGTAGGCTGTTCTAGAACCATCTTTCCCACTGCGGCACTTGTGTTCACATCATTTCAACCCCTCCTCCCATTTAAGTCTTTTTTTTTTTTTTTAAAACACATGAGTGTTTTACCTGTATGAATGTATGTACACCATGTGCATGTGGGGTACCTGCAGAGATCAGAAGGGGGTTTGAAATGGTTGTGAGCCACCCTGTGGGTGCTGGAACTAGACCCAGGCGCCCCATGAGAACAAGGGCTCTTAGCTGCCCAGCCATCTCTCCAGCCCCTCCGAAAAATGCTTAGCTAGTTTCTTTGTACACATCCCTCTTGTGGCCACTGCTGGCCACACACGATGTCACTAAATCCAACAGACAGTTTCCACCCCTCTCCTTCAGCTTTTGCCGAGCGGGCAGGGGTGGCTCTCAGGTTTCTCTGAAGACTCTTTAGCCCTTGGCTAGATGGCACGGAGCTCAGTGCCTGGTTCCCCTCTCCGCAGGCTTCCCGTTGCCCGGCGTCTTGCTGCTTGGAAGGTCTGGATCCCTGTTCTCTCCTTCTGCTCTAGCCCAGCTCATGCCTTCCTCATCTCCACTCTTACCCTTGTGCGTCCGGATCTGTTACCTGAACTTCCTTATTGGAGAAGCTGATCACCCTTGGTTCTTTTTTCCCAAGGAGGCAGTAACCTTGGGTGGGCCCACCTCTACTGCCCTCCTCCAGAGTGACTGTCAATCCCCACTTAGTCCCCCCTACACACACACACACACACACACACACACACACACACACACACACTGTTATCTCTGACAGGTCTGCAGTGCCCTCTGCAGCATCCCGCCTTCTTTCTCTTCTTTGCTCATTCTCTGAGGTGTTCTCTGAGGTGTAGCTAGAGTGAGCGAGCGGACCTCCATCTTTTGCAGACAAGCTTCTGCTATTCTCCGTATGAGACGAGGCCCGGCGAGCAGGGTCCTTTGTGATCCGGCATGTCCTCTCTCCCAGCCCCACCTCTCTATTCCAGCCAGCGTCACTATTCCTAGTTGACCAGCATCACGCTCTGCCCTGGGGAGGCTGTGCCCAAGCTGTGTCCTTGGCCTCCCTCCCTCTCTGTCCCTTCTGCCCAATGTCTTAGCGAGGTCACGTCCCCTTCATACGCCCACATGTCTACCTTTAACTTGACGTACTCACCTTCTGGGAAGTCTCTCTGATTGCTCTGCCTCGCTCTGCCCCACAAGACCTGCTATGGGTCTCAGCTGTGTGCTCCAAAGCCCTTTCCAGATTCTGTTAAGACGCTCGCTCCTTTTGTTCTGTTTCCCACCTTGTTCCTCCTTTTGGGTCAGGGTATAGTTTGTCCGCAGCGTCTCCCCAGTGAAGTAATTTCGTCTCCTGTGGGAGCATCTCAGCTGACTTCAGATGTCATACGTCAGTTAAGGCAACTGTGACTTAAAACAGACTTAAGGAGTTGGTGTTGATCCTTACTGGCTACTTTTCCTTCTTTTTAAAAATACTATATAAATGATTTTTTAAAGATTTTTTTGTGTGTGTATGTGTGTGTGTGTGTGTGTGTGTGTGTGTGTGTGTGTGTGTGTATGTGTGTGCACTTGAGTACAGGGATCAGAGCAGGTATCAGATCTCTGGGAGTAGGAATAATGGGCAGTTATGAGCTACCAAGTATTGGTCCTGGGAACTGAACCCGGGTTCTCTGCGAGAGCACCAAGTGCTTTTACACACAGCCAACCTCCCAGCCCACTGCTGTCCTCCTACCCACTAGCTGTCCTCCCAACCCACTAACTGTCCTCCCAGCCCACTAGGTATCCTCCCAGCCCACTAGGTATCCTCCCATCCCACTAGCTGTCCTCCCAGCCCACTGCTGTCCTCCCA